TTAAACCTCCCATTTATTTCTTCTCTCATTTAAGCTATAAAAACTGGTCCTGGTGCTGACTGACCCATGATTTCTAGGTTAATCTAAATCATGACCCCTTTGTGAATTGACTGATCCTTTCACAGGGGTCACCAATGGCCATCAGAAAACACAGGTATCTACAGTACAATTCATAACAGTAGCAAAATTACAGTAGCAACAAAAATTATTTTATGATTGGGGGATCACTACAACATGAGGAACTGTATTAAAGGGTCACAGCATTATAAAGTTTGAGAACCTCTAATCTGAGTGGATTATTTTAAATATTCTTTTTATTTTAAAAATATTGATATACAGTATGTTCTTCCCCCTCCCCCAACTTGATTCTCTTCTGTAGTTGGACTTTCCTTTGGGCAGTCAGCTCACAAAAAATGACATGGAAACTTACCATTAGTTATAAAAGATCAGCCTGTAGCTTAGGCTTGTTCCACTAGCCCATATAACTTAAAATATCCCATTTATATTAACCTATGTTTTACATCATGACTTTTTACCTGTCTTTAATCTTGCACCTCCTGCCTCCTCTCCATGTTGTCTGGAATCTCTCCTGTGCCTCAGTTCATCTCCTCTTCCTCTCTCTCTCTCTCTCTCTCTCTCTCTCTCTCTCTCTCTCTCTCTCTCTCTCTCTCTCTGCCTGGAAGTCCCACCTAACCTCTTCCTGCCTAGCTATTGGACATTCAGTTCTTTATTAAAACAATCAGAAGACACCTTGGCAAAGACACATCTTTACAGTGTACAAAAAGTTTTTGCCACAATATTTCCCCCTTTTTGTCTAAATGAAAAGGAAAAGTTTTAGATCTAACACAGTAAATACAATAAGAACAATTATCAAGTATTGTCCAAATAAAAATAGAAGGCTTTAATTTTAATAAAATAGAACTATATGCTATAAGAACAATTTTCAAGTAAGACTTACATTCACAATGTCCAATCCATATGTATTTGGCAAATTTGAAGAAAGTGCTGTATTATCTATCTTATCTCCATGAGTCCAAAGTTTTACATCTAAACCATTTTTTGTCATAACTTGTATTGCCAACCTAAAATATCTTTTTAGACTTTAAACATGCTTTTAGATAAACAACTTAAGTTTTTATGTCTTCCAACTTTGTACATTTTACATCTCTTTTATAAGTTTCTTTTCTGAATTTGGAAACAAAGAAAACTGTATCTATAGCTATCTAATCTTCAGCTCCATCAGAGACCTGAGAAGTATAAAATATTACTTAAGTGAAGAGAAAGCTCAGAGCAAACAACTTCCAAAACTAAGAAATGACAGAGACATCTGACTGCCTGGACATCACCCCAAGCTTCCTCTGCAGTTTTGGGGCATCCATCTTTGGCCTATGGGCCTAAAATATATGACAGACTTCTCTGTGAAACAGTAATTTTGAAGAACTCTTCTACCTTGTCTTGGCAAAGTTTGGCAGTTGTCTTCTTTTGTGTGCTGCTTGTCCATTTGGATTACAAACTGTCAGCAGAAGAGGCAAGGGCAGTTTCTAGCCCAAATGGTTAGCTTTTGACACAAAGAAAGCAAACTTGATATGGAAGTTCTTCAATGTCTTTCATTCTTTTTTGAAGTAAATTGGTGCTGCCAGGAGCATACATGTCTCACTGTCATGAAAAGCCTTATGTTATTAAAATATTTTAAATGCCATATTCTGTAGGTCTTTGAAGTAGTTGAATATCATCTATCTGAAATATATCTCTTTATTTTTATTGATGACTAACCATTAACCTGTATTTTTTTATTATCCTAAATAACTTTCAAGGACTAAAACTAAACATTTTAAAATAAGCTGCATAGATACAATTTCTTAAACAAGAATAGAAGCATATATAAAACATGACAAAATAACCTTAAATGTATATCAATATACAAAAATATGTACCAATATAAAATAGTTGACACTAGTGATTGTTTAAAAGTAAACATACACAAGCCAGTCAACGTTGATTTTTGTTTGTGTGTTTTATGTTTGAACAGGTAAAATATACCCCACATGTATTGTAGGGGGTTTTGTTTTGTTATGTTTTGTTTTGTTTTTAGGTTAATGTCTTTATAACTGTAGTCAAGATTTTCAGGAGGTATCTCCTGATCAAACCTGATTCTCTTTAAGCTTGAATGATCCACAGCCTTTCATTTCCTATAAAAGCAAAAGCATGACCTCTTCCCCAAAGCAATATATGTTTTGAATTCCACTTCAAAGTTAAGGCATTCCTAAAGTATGTCTGCTGGTTTGATTCAGCAGCCCCTCTTCTTTCCCATGTCTCTCAGCAGTCATAGTTCACTCATCAGCAATCAAAAAATTTAAAGTTAACCAGAAACCATATTGTATACAGAAGTTTCTGTCTTACCTGGTACCTGCAGCTGTTTAGTCCCAAATATATACACAGAGGCTTATATTAATTATACACTGTCTGGCCAATGGCTCAGGCTTCTTATTAGCTAACTCTTTCTTAATTATTAGCCCACTTCTATTAATATGTGGATCTCCACATGGTCTTGGCTCACCAAAGAATGCCCAGATGTCCTACCTTCCTGGTAGCTACATGGCAACTCACTCACTGTGTTCCTCTTCTCAGAATTCTCCTAGTCTGTCCATGCCACCTATACATCCTGCCTGGCTACATTCTGCCTGTCCCTTGGCCAAAAAAAAAGCTTTATTCATCAACCAATAAAAGAAACATATATTCACAACATATGGAAGGACATCCCCTATCACTACATAGGACCCAAACTGTGTATTTTCATCTTTACATAACTTATCCTTTTCATGTCATTTTATTCTCTCTTTAAATACTAATTCTTATTATTTATAGACTAGTTTTTTCTATGACTGTCTACACATTTTCTTTCTTTTTTTTTTTTTTTTTAAGCCTATGTGCATTTTTTAAGCACACTGTAATTTGTTTAGGGGTTTCTTCCATCTGGACCTGTCTTTACTCATCACCTGAAACATTCTCTGACCAAATGAGACAAAAGTTAAGCTGCTATCTTAAACTGCTATGTAAGTCACCGAGTGGTTCACCTTAGCTCATGGTGCTGGCAGCTGGTTCCAGCCCACAGGCAGCAGCAGCTGGTAACAGCATCTCTCTACACCATCAAGCCTACCCAGTCACCAGGAAGCAGTGTTTGACTCCACATTCTCAACTTTTTATTTTTAGCTTTCTTAGGCCTTATGTGGAAATACATGGCCAGACGTTGGGTACCATATGTAGTCAGATTTTCCTTTAATGGCCAGCTCACAAAAAAGGTGCTACAGAGACTTATTATTAATCATGGAAGATCAGCCTATAGTTTAGGCTTGTCCCACTAGCTCTTATAACTTAACCCATTTATAGTAATCTACATTTTGCCTCATGGCTTTTACCTTGCTTCCATTTTGTACCTCCTGATACCTCTCATGTACCTATATTCATTTTCTTCTCCTCTCTCTCTGCCCAGAAGTCCTGCCTAACCTCTTCTTGCCTAGCTATAGAACATTCAGGAAAAAAAAAGTCATTTAACACCTTGGCAAAGACACATCTTCACAGTGTACAAAACTCCACAGTGTACACCAATTCCACCATATTCTCCTCTCTGTCTCTCTTGTTCTCTCCTCTCCTCTTTCCTTACTCCACTCTCTCTCAAAATCATAATACAAAAAGAAAAAAACTCAAAGCAAATAAACAAAACAACATACCACTACAAAACACATACACCACATAGTCTACTTTTCTACTCTTGGGAATAGAGCCTACCCAGAATGTTGTTGATATAGTTACACTCCATTGGAGATGTTTTATAGACTAAGAGACTTTTCAAATGTATTTTCAGGGTAGTAACCTCTAGGAAAAAGAAGCCTATAGAGGGGCCATGGAGGGATTGTGCTTTCTTATACAACTCAATACAACTCAGGACTACCTTCCCAGGGATGACAACCACTCACAAAGGGCTGGTCCTCCCACATCAGTCATTAATTTTAAAAAATGTCCCATTGGCTTGCAGACAGGCCAATCTGGTGGGGGCATTTTCTCAAGTAAGGTTCCTTCTTCTTAAATGTCTCTAGCTTTTGTCAAGTTGACAAAAACACTAGCCAACACCAACATTTTTTAAGTAGTGTTCTAATAAAACCTGGAAGTTTAGAACAAATGTGTTCATTAATTGCAACTTTAAGTAGATCAGGACTCAGGGTTGGGGAGATTTGGTTGGGAAGAGACAGTTTCTCCTCCTTGAAGCCTCATTTGCTTCAAGCCCAAAGCAAAAACCACAAGGGCAATTGGCAAATACAAGTCATTTTCTTACTAAACCAATAGCTTTTGTCAACGTATGTCATAAGTGGTGTCTGCGCCCAGTTGAGTATACAGTTCAGTCGTCTAAAACACCATGTTTTATCTATTATTAAGATCTGTTTTAATAGCATTTCAGTTGCCAACAGTTAACTCAGGAAACCTTTTTTGTAACTATGGTGACTGAAATGAGCAAGCTTTTCAATACACGTATAAAAGGATGTCTAGAAAAATCTGAATATAAAGGGTTAGTAACAACCCCAAAGTACAATGTAAATTTCAGCCAAAACACTGAGCTAGAACGCTGAAGTCATTTTGTATATAGATGACAAAGCAATTTTTCCCTATTTCTTTACAATAAAATGTGAGCAATAATACCTCATAAAATCATAGAATATAATGATTGTGTGGAAAGTGTGGGGTTTAAAAGTGCTATTTATTTGCTGCTGGTGTCAATATTATTGCTGATTTACCTTCTTTGCAATTCAAACATCCTCCAGTCATAAAAAGATAAATATCTCCCACCTTCAGATGCTTCAGAATTGTGCACTCCTCCTTACTATTCGTTTGGGACTATAAATGCTAGGCCAGCAGCTCAGACTGGGTTTCCCATTTGGAAAGCAGCCATCCATATTTGAATGCTTTCTTCTCTAGGGACTGATTTGAGAGAAAAGAAGAAGCAGCAGTCACTTGATCTTGGTTCCTGTCTTTAGGATCTGAAGAAGCCTGTCTCGAATCTGCTTGGTACGAACAGCATAGACATCTGGATTGAGGATGGGGGGAATGAGGAGGTAGAAGTTGGCCAGTAGTGTATGGATTGGTGGAGGTACACGATGACCAAACCGGTGAATGAGGGAAGAAACAGCAATGGGAACATAGAAAATCAGAATGGCACATATATGAGAGCCACATGTCCCCAAGGTTTTAAGCCTGGCCTCAGGAGTGGCCAGCCCCATCACGGCTTTGAAAATCATTACATAGGAGGCAGCAATGGCCACTGTATCCAGGATCAACACCAGAAAGCCAATACTCAACCCATAGACATTGTTGACTCTGCTGTCACCACAGGTCAAGGCAACCACAGCCATGTGCTCACAGTAGGAGTGAGAGATGACTTGAGTTTTATAAAGAGGCAATCGTAGGCGGATCATAAGTGGTAGGGGTCCAATGTAAAGAATGCCTCGGAGGAGGGCAGCCAGCCCCAAACGACCCACCACTGCCTGGGTGAGCACCATGCTATGACGCAGTGGGTTACAGATGGCTACGTATCGGTCAAAGGCCATGGCAAGGAAGATGCCTGACTCAACAGTAGCAAAGCAATGAATGAGAAACATAAGCAGGCATCCAGACCAATGTTGCCAGCACCAAACCAGAAGATTGCCAGAAGTTTGGGCATAGTGGAAGTAGACAGATCAAGTCAATGACAGCCAGCATGCACAGAAAGAAGTACATGGGCGGGTGCAGGCTGCGTTCTACCTTTACCATCGCTAAAATGGTGATGTTCCCCACCACAGCCACCAGGTACATGGAACCAAAAGGGATAGAGAGCCACATGTGCAGGAATTCCAGACCTGGGATGCCGGTGAGCCAGAAAGAGCTGGACACTGAGCAGGCATTATGAAAAGTGGGCATTGCTACTTTTAAATAAATCTCATTTGTGTCCCCAAATGCAGCAAGACATTTTCCCCTGGAAAGGAAAGAAATGGTATTCTTAGAACATATAATAAACATCATTGAATATACAATGATACACAACTTTTAGAAGAAACTGACATTTCAGACTTCATTTAATTTCACGTTACACTAGTCTCCATGAAACAAGCATAATTAAAAATATGTAATTGAATAAGTGGATGATTTTTATAGTATAATCCTCAACGAGTGATATTTTACATCAATAAATGAATTGCCCTGAGGCAGGAGTGAACTCATTTGGTGACTTATCTCTCCAGATACACTATAAAGTGGTTTCAGGGATCATATTAGAATGACCTTCTAACGTCCGACTAGGGATGCAATCTGCCTGTCAAGAGACAATACTGGGTAGAGACTGTGCACTGATAGGATTGGATCTAATACCCACAAGAGAACACATGGCATGCTCATGGAGACCACTGAAGGGACCATCTGCAGAGACTCTGGCACGGTTGGTAGGATTATGAAGTATCTGGACGAACAGTGAGTGTGGTTTCTTAGCCAGGTGTAGTTAGCAGAACACAGAGGGGTCACTTTTCAAGGGTTAGGCATCCTGAACATCCTGGTGAGGAGGGAATCTGAGAACAAGTCTGGTTTCTATTACTGCCCCTCTACCTCTGCCTGGTTCCTCATGATGGCAGGGCCCAGCTAGAAACAGGCTGATTCTTCACTCCTCAAGGAAAACTCACTGAAGCTGGGATACAAGGTCAGACTTTTAAGACTCCATGATGAATTAAAGCTTAATCTGGGAACAATCATTAACTATTTAGCTTTTCTCCTGAAATACAACTAGCATCACTTCACAACTGCTTTTTAAAGCTGTAACTTAGAAAAGTTGTTCTCCATTCATTTTATAGCAATATGCAAAATTAAGAATATGTTCATCAAACCTCAAGGAACTTGGAGCTGTCTGTCTCAGGGAGCGGTGATGACAGGGGGACAGCTGCTGCCATGTAAGCTTCTTTTTATTTAACCTTTTTCTTTTTTAGTTTCCCCCCCACTCCCCACCCCCTAACCCCCACCCCCCAATCCCCACCCCCATGTAGCTTTGGAGCCTGTCCTGGCACTCACTCTGTAGACCAAACTGGCCTCAAACTCACAGAGATCTGCCTGCCTCTGCCTCCCAAGTGCTAGGACTAAAGGTGTGCGCCACCACTGCCCAGCTCCGTGTTAAGTTTCTTGTGGCTTAGTCCTTATCTCCATAATGTGGGCTCACAGCCAAGCTCCACAGAGATTGCTAAATAGACCTAGTTTTAGCAATGCATTATAAAAACAAAGGACTGGGAAGAAAGGGTGCATCACAACTGGCCTCTGAATTCACTGAGCAGAGTGGGATAGGGCCATAGCCCAAGTGAGTTTGTCTCAGCCCCCGATCCCTATGGTCTGGCTAGCCTCTATTTGCCCCACCAGGTCCCTACCTGATGCACCCAGAAGGTGACCATTTCTGGGATCATCCAGATCCCCCTGCCATCATGGCAGAGATAGTGGGATAATAATAGAAACCAGAGACTTGGTCTCACATTCCCTTCCCACCAGGCATGTTCAAGATGTCTTTTTCTTCTACCCAAAGCCCCTCCTTTTGAAAAGTGGCCCCTCTGTGTTCTGCTAACTACACCTGGCTAAGTAACCACACTCACTGTTCTTCCAGATACTTCATAATCCCATCAACCCTGCCCGAGTCTCTGCAGATGGTCCCTTCAGTGGTCTCCATGAGCATGCCATGTGTTCTCTTGTGGATCAGATCCTATAGTGCACAATCTTTACCTAAAATCTGAGAGGGGCCAGTCACAGAACAAAATCAAAAGGAAAAGCCTACAATGTGAGGGCAAAATTTAGATAACCTTGTCCATGACTTTGAGCTTTATAATTCATGGAGACTTGTCTGTTTCACCCCCTGCTTCAAACCAAATTACTTCCATAGCTTATGCAGGTTACACTGAGCAAGGCTTCAATGTGGAACATAATAGTTTTGCTTTGCTCAGGTAAAGTCCTTGAATGGGAAATTAGGTAGGACTGTCAGATGAGCACTTTTGTGCCCACAGTTCCCCTGCCCCATTGTTGTTAGTATTGTGCTGATGAGAGAGTTGTTTCAGAGCCTATCCTCCCTCCCAATGCCATGCAAGTCCCTGAACTGCTGCCCTAACAAGGAAAATCCCTTTTAGATTTGAGCAGATAAGTTGCACTGTAGAATCTTTCTTCCTCTTCCCTATCCCTGACCACATGCAGAGCTATTTTTCTGGATATTCCTCCTCCATTTCATCTCTCCTGTGTAACAGTGAAAAGCCCCTAAGATTTCTCTCTAAAGTATTTGGAGTCCTGAATGAACACTAAGGGCAATATCACAAAAGATAGACTTTAGAGACTTTTTCCTGTCTCTGGTTTACATCATTCAGGAAGGATCCCATGTGTTCATAAAGGATATGTTCCACTCCATGCACACTTATATAGACTAACATTACAAAATGTGCCAGTCCTCACAAGAGTACAGCTAAGCTGTAGAAGCAATCTTTCTCAGGGTATCTAATGGGATGCTTATGGGTTATGAGGCATCATGTTTTAGCTAATGGGGCAAAGAAGTCTCCACAGCTCCAAAAGTTTGAAACTGTGTGAACTCAAGATGTTTCAACTCTGTTTCTTCAATGGCATATTTCTCTCTTGTGTAGTTTTGTAACTTAGGTTCTTCTACTCAAAAGAGTTGGTGAAACAAGTATACTTCAAAAGTGTTGTCCCCATCAGTACTAGTCTTTCTGCATCTTTAGGAGACATCAACTCTCATGAGCCCAGCAGACAGCAGCTTCCTCCTTCAGATCAGAAGCCAGTAAGGTAGGAAAGAGGGCAATGCAGGAGACTCATTACAGAACGAATTGTTCTCCCTGACTCTCTTTCACAGCTTCTCCTGCTACAAAACCTCAGAAGAAGGTGGGAAGCTTGCAGGGTGCTTAATTCCATACAAGTTCTTCCTTTGTTTCTAAGTCTTGGTTCAGTATTCCCACCTCAAACAGATGAACTCTGCCTTGGGTAAACTTAGTTTATTAGGTGAGCCTTTTATAAGTGAATATTTTGCATCATATTCAAGGCATTTTTAAGACTATAGTAATGCCTCACTCTTTAATTGGCTTGTACCAACTCTCAACCTTTTCATTTCCCCAATTAATAGAGCAAAGTATACATCAGATGTGAAGGTCTATGGTAAAGGCCTTGCCTTACTGCACTAAATGGTCTTAAATTTATACTATTCAAAAGATGCCTAAATACAGCCTTGGGATCAGAAGCAAACATCATCATTCTAACCCTGTCCAGAAGAGGGCACCCAACCTGAAAACAAGATGATATTGGGTGCTCTAACAAGGATTTTCTGGACACAGCAGGGCAGCCGACCCTATGAATTCACATTGACAACTGCTAAGACAGAGAGTCTGTGTTCTTTATTCCCCGTGGGTTAAACCCGCAGTGAAGGCCACATATCCAAGCATGTATGAGCAGCACAAACTGTACTTGATTTTTTTTTGAAAAATAGGACACAAAGTTGAGTGGCCAGGGAAGGCGGGAAGGATCTGGGAGGTATGAGGGAAAAGGGTGATTATAGTCAAAATACATGATATAAAATGTCCAAAGACATTTTTAAAATGAGAAAAAGAGATACTAAAATTTAATCATTAAATGTATGTGCACATTAAAAAAAAAAAGAAAGTTTGATGCCACTAAACATCTTAACCCATCAATTACTTGTGTAACAATTCCACTTAGCCCTCAGTATGAGTTTCATCCAATCAACCTCGTCACAGGATTCAGCTTCCAAACTGCAAGTGAAAATGTGTTGGTGAAACCAACACAGAAATACAGAAAAACAAGACAATTCTGTTTATTTTTTGAAATTTTTATTTCAAGTCTATAATCTCATCAATGGACTTAGTGTCCCATTGTCTCTGAAACTATCCACTGATTGTGTGTAATTCTGGGAGAAAACAGAATTTTAAACCTGCTAGAACAGACGTTAAATCAAAAATGTATGAGGAATCCATATAATTTTAGTGATTTGTATACATCTCCAAAGACTAACGGTTCATTGTCTCACTCATGGATGGGATTCTGATAATGAATAGGTAAAAAATATTTCTAGAATCCTCCTATCTTAGGCAGAAGACCCACTATTTAGTTCCATGTTCATTGCCATGAGGGAATGGTCTGCTATGTGATTAGGTAAGTGTGGCATAGGGTGACATCTATCATACTACCACTTCTAGTACTTAATAGATGTAGGTCCTTGACATCCAGAAGCTTTAATTTTTCTTTATTCCATCCTTGATATTTCCTCCTGAATTTCACTACTTTTATGAGTTCCCCCAACGTCTTCATATTAGCCTGAGATTCCTTACATATCCTTCATTCCACCTATAAACCTCCTCTGGTCTTTGGAAACTCTTCTTTCTGTATCCATCCATAGCCTTATAGGACTAAAGGGTAGCTTGGGGATAGAGAGCATGCATTGCAGGCACAGGGTGCTGGGTTCAGTCTCCAGCATTAAAACTAAAGAGACTGTAAGACCCTCTTCTTATATGTGTGTCCACATTCTATAGAGAATGGTCCTTTCGTCATTTTCTGAAATCTTCCTTCCACTGTCACATATACTAAAAATCCAGAGAAAAGGGAAGAATAATTTTCAAAGTATATTGCCTACAAATTCCTTTCACATATAGAAGTATGTATGCCACATAAAAATAAAAGCAAACACTACACTTTTTCTTATCTGTAAAAAGAATATTTTTTTCAGATGAGTTTATTCAATTTCATTGCACACAGGCTACATACAGTAATTCCCTAGGGAAGAAACCAAAACAGGATTCATCACCCTATACATAATCATCAGTTTCCCTTCCAGGAATATAGTCTATCCTTGTACAGAAATATGATATTGAGAAATATGTCTGTGCCTCTTG